CAAGTTTAAGCTCCCAATGGAGGTTTTTTTGCTGATGCAAAAAAATTAATACAATTTTTATAAATATAAACATTAAAATGTTCTATTTTTTGATTAGTATAAATTATAGACACTTCAAAATGCATTTTTTATACCCTCCACCACCATCAGTGGTGATAGAGGGTATATATAACTTTGTCATTCCGTGTGTAACACCAAGAAATATTCATCTGAGACCCAACAAAGTATATATATTCTGGGTCCTTATCAAATTCTGAGTCGATTTAGCTATGTCCGTCTGTCCGTCTGTCTGTGTAAAACACGCTCACGATAAAACGAAGCAATAGAGCTTAACCAAATTCACCCAAAATGTTCTTCATTTTCCTAAGTTGTTTGGTATTGCAAATGGGCAAAATCGGTTCACACCGGGAAAAGTTATGAATCAAAATTTAAAACAACCTCGGAAAAAAATAAGCATTTTTAACACATTCTGATGTAGCTTTCTCGAAAACTATGCAAGATAATTCCATGGAAATCACCATACATTCGTTTCTGCACAAGATCTTGATCCCTGCTGAAAATTGCCGGAATCGGTCCACAATTTCATATACCTCCCATACAAAAGTACATATTCCCGGAAAATGGGTTTTTTGTTAATAACTTCCGTCACAATGTCGATATCTTCACAAAATTTTACAAATTAAAATCTTATGTCAATAGAATTCTTTCAGAGGAAAAATTTTATGGATCGGTCCATAATTGGACATAGCTCCCATACAAGGTCCCCTCCCGAAAATCACTTAAACGCGCATAACTCATTACTAAATTAAGATATCCAAATAAAATTTGGTATAAGTATTGCCCATATACATAGAAATATTACTGTGAAATTTTTTTCCGATCGGTCCATAATTGGTCATAGCTCCCATACAAGGTCCCCTCCCGAAAATCACTTAAACGCGCTTAACTCATAACTAAATTAAGATATCCATATAAAATTTGGTACAAATATTACTCATATGCACAGAAATATTGTTGTGAAATTTTTTTCCGATCGGTCCATAATTGATCATAGTTCCCATACAAGGTCCCCTCCCGAAAATCACTTAAACGCGCATAACTCATTACTAAATTAAGATATCCAAATAAAATTTGGTATAAGTATTGCCCATATGCATAGAAATATTACTGTGAAATTTTTTTCCGATCGGTCCATAATTGGTCATAGCTCCCATACAAGGTCCCCTCCCGAAAATCACTTAAACGCGCATAACTCAGTACTATATTAAGATATCCATATAAAATTTGGTATAAGTATTGCCCATATGCATAGAAATATTACTGTGAAATTTTTTTCCGATCGGTCCATAATTGGTCATAGCTCCCATACAAGGTCCCCTCCCGAAAATCACTTAAACGCGCTTAACTCATAACTAAATTAAGATATCCATATAAAATTTGGTACAAATATTACTCATATGCACAGAAATTTTGCTGTGAAATTTTTTTCCGATCGGTCCATAATTGATCATAGCTCCCATACAAGGTCCCCTCCCGAAAATCACTTAAACGCGCATAACTCATTACTAAATTCAGATATCCATATAAAATTTGGTATAAGTATTGCCCATATGCATAGAAATGTTACTGTGAAATTTTTTTCGGATCGGTCCATAATTGGTCATAGCTCCAATACAAGGTCCCCTCCCGAAAATCACTTAAACGCGCATAACTCATTACTAAATTAAGATATCAATATAAAATTTGGCACTAGTATTACTCATATGCACAGAAATATTACTGTGAAAATTTTTTTCGATCGGTCCATAATTGGTCATAGCTCGCATACAAGGTCCCCTCCCGAAAATCACTTAAACGCGCATAACTCATTACGTAATTAAGATACCCATATGGTACAAATATTACTCATATGCACAGAAATATTACAGATAATTTTTTTTTCGATCGGTCCATAATTGGTCATAGCTCCAATACAAGGTCCCCTCCCGAAAATCACTTAAACGCGCATAACTCATTACGTAATTAAGATACCCATATGGTACAAATATTACTCATATGCACAGAAATATTACAGATAATTTTTTTCCGATCGGTCCATAACTGGTCATAGCTCCCATACAAGGTCCCCTCCCGAAAATCACTTAAACGCACATAACTCATTACTAAATTAAGATATCCATATAAAGTTTGGCAAAAATATTGCTCATATACAGAGAAATATTACTGTGAAATTGTTTTCCTATCGATCCATAATTTATCATAGCTCCCATACAAGGTCCCTTTCAGAAAAAACACTTAAAGGCACATAACTCATTACCAAATAATGATATAAATAAATACTATTTTGTAATGCAAAAAGCACTTAATGCTATTTCAAAAAATTTTCACGATCGGTCTATATTTTGTCATATCTCTCATACTAGGTCCTGCCCCTAAAAGCGCTTTAACCGTATTTAACTATTTGGATTATCAATTTGTGTAGAACAAAATTATATATATGTATGTATTTTTAAAATCCTTAAATCTTTCACACACATGCATACATGCAAATACGAGATATCGCTAAAGCATATCTTAGGGCGCTGTAAAAATTTAAATGAAAGTGGCGTTTCTAATGTTCAATAAATCTTGGATTGTAGTAGATTTAATCTTGGATTTTTTCTATTTAAGACATGAGAAAACTTATTTCTACAAATATTTTATTAATTAGAAATGTATTAATACAAAAGTTGCTGGTGAAGGGTATTTAAGATTCGGCTCAGCCGAATATAGCACTCTAACTTGTTTGTTTTTAATTTAAGTTTTCATTAATTTTCATATTAAATTTACAATTGTCTTCTTCTTTTTTATAAAATATGCATTGTTTTGATAACAAACAGTGAAGTTTTCTGTTGTTTTGTATGGCAACACTGCGAAGTTTAATCTTGTACTCAAAAACATCAAAGAGGATTAACATAAGATTTAATTTATTTTTAGATTAACTAATCTGATTATTAATTGGCATTTGATTATCATCTCAAAAACCCGCTCTAATAATGTTTTCAAATAGAAAATGTTGAAATATTTTTCCACCTCTTTGTGATATTTGTTGTTCTGGTTCTCATTATCCCTATATACTTATTTTTTCTTTTACGGCTGGGGAGCACATTTGATAGTTTTGTAACATAAAATTTAATGAATATTTATGTATTTACACTTAGGTTTATTAAATTACTGATGTCTGTTCTGAAAATGGAATCGGTTTCTAAAACCGAATTTGGTGTTCTGCAAATCGAATTGTTATTTCAACGTAAAAGTCACAAAAACACAAAAATGGAAAAAATAAATATTTAATTTATTAGAATAAAATTACATTCGATTTACTTTAGGCTATATTTATGTATGTACTCGGTTTTAAAACGAAAACAAGTAAGAAAGTATAGTCGGGCGTGGCCGACCATATGATACCCTACACCAGTTATGAATATTAAATGTGATTTATTTTTCATAATAAAGCATTTATCTTCAATATTCCCTTGTTCCGATACATTTAAGCAATTTATGGATGAAAAACTAATTTTCTGAAAGAGGCTTTATATGGGGGCTAGGGGCAAATATGGACCAAGCCCGATATATGAATATATGAATATATGAATATATTTATATTTACATAATATTTTATTGTGCTGAATTTCATCGCGATATTTGTGTTTATAAGTTAATTTGGGACATTCAAGTAATTTTCTGAAGGGGACTTTGTATGGGTCAAATGGGGCCCGATCTTTATGAAATTTGGCAGGGTCATCAAGACTTCTATAAAACTTAGTTGTGCCGTATTTTATCGATATATCTGTATATTTAACATAATTATGAGCTCAGAAGCCCTTTTCGGGGGGTTCTGTTCTATGGGGGCTAGGTGAAATAATGGACCGATTTTAACCATTTTCAATAGGTTCCGTTCTTGGGTAAAGCGTTCAAATAAAGCGTGCGTGCCAAATTTCATCCAATTATCTTGAAAATTGCGACCTGTAGCTTGCGCACAAGGTTTACATGGACAGCCAGCCAGACGGACGGACGGACGGACATAGCTTAGTCGACTCAGAAAACGATTCTAAGCCGATTGGTATACTTTAAGGTGGGTCTAGGACGAATATTTTTGTATATACCCTCCCCACTAAAGTGGTGTAGGGTATAAAAATTATGCAAATTCGTTTTTAAACGAGAAATTTACTCGGATTCAGTTTACAGAACAGACAGAACTATGTAATATTATTTAGAACAAATTGGCTTTTTTTTATTACTGAATAATTAAATAAAATATCTTTTTAGTACACTACCGTTACCGCTAAAATACCATTACCAAAAATTTATTTAAAAAGCCTTTACGCGATGTTTTATTGAATTTTTTAACATATCATGTAACTTAGAAATATGTATGTATATATAAACTCAGGGTTGGCAATAGTTTTGAAGCAGTGAAAAGATAAGGGTAACGGTATTTGGATTATTTTGGTAACGTTGTTTTAGCGGTAATGGTAGTGAGATAAGAGGGTACTTTAAAGGTGTAATATAGGAAAAATTATTTAAAAATAATATAAAATAAAAATAATATAAAATAACGGTAATTCGGTAGCGATATTTTAGAGATAACGGTAGTAGAGCTGAGGAAACGATAGTAAATAAAATACTTTATTATTTTCTCTATAAATACATACATATGAGTAAGTATGGAAGTGTCCCGCAGGCAACTTTTTGAAGAAAAACCTGTCCATTTTTGTTGTATATCCCTGCATAATTTCTTACACAACTTTTGTGCTTGCTCTATTTTATTGTTATAAATTATATACAAAATCCTACTTAAAAAGTCTCTCGGATTCCGTTTTTATTTAAAATCTTTGAAAATTTTACAATTAAGCGTATTTGAGAACTTAGCCGGCTTACAGTCGATTTTAAGTCGCCGCCGATATTTTTAGTGTCAGCCGCCGCCGTCTTTAATATTTGTCGGCGCAGGGTTTTGATTCATATGTCTGTATTCTGTTTTCATTTTTTGTGTTGTGAAGGAGAGCATATTTTTCTTTATAATTATAAAAAATATTTAAAGATAATTACGCTAATTAAATTACACGATTATTGCAATAATTTAAGGGGGCTTCTAAGCATTCATGGGCCAAATTAGTACTTAATGGCAATCTAAACGATACTGTTGACCGACATTCCTCTACTTTAACTGCCAACATTCTAATGGACAAGGTAGTATTAGGAATATGTATCCATTGAGAAATTAACTGAATAGAAAATTAATGCATTAGTGAAAAATTGTTAATATTTTATAAAATACAAAAGGAAACTCAAATTACTTAAGACATTTAAAGCAATGGATTCCTCAACGTCGACAGCTGTGTGTGATGATGATATAGATGTTCTTTTAGTTACTGCAAACGTAGGAAGTTTGTTTGAAGATGTATGTAGATATAGTTTTCTACTTTAATGAAATTCATTTAACTTCTATTTTTTTATCTCCTTATAGCCTCTTCGTCTTCTCCGTCCATGGTTAGTAGTGTTTCTTCAAAAAGTGGAAGAACTACAACCAAAATTTTTGGCACTACACTTACAGGAAGTTGGAGGAAAAACATATGAAAAATCAATGGAATACGTTCAAGAATTCATAAAAAGTTTATGCGAAGCCCCCCAAATGTTAAATTTTGAATTTATTCGTATTTACATGGATGAAGATTTTAATTCCGCGGAACACTTTACGGTAACTATTTGAATAATGGAAAACTTGAATCTTGAGTTGAATATCGATGTTTTTAACAGTTTGATTTCATACAATGTTCGTAGTGTTACGGTAACTATTTGAATAATGAAAACTTGAATCTTGAGCTGGATATCGATGATTTCATCAGTTTAATTAATTTCATAAAATGTTCATAAGACTTGTCTTTATTGAATCCTTTCTAAAAACAATTTTTTACGATGTTTTGAGAATTTACTTAAAAGTATTACAACAATTAACAACTAGATAATTAATTAATTAAAAGTGTGAAACACTTTCCATACAAATGTTTGAAAATACAAAACAAAAAAAAAAATTTTAATTTTTGGTTAGTAAGGGCCGTTTGCGATTTAGGGGACGATATACATATTACGTACACTAAAGCAACTGATGTTGTATTTCTGTGCAATCGATTATAATATTTTCCACGCTGAAGATATTTTAAATTTGTTTTTTTGTATATTACAACTTAAAAAACAAGTAAGAGTGTTATATTCGGCTATGCCGAATCTTATATACCCACCATCAAACCTCGTTTGACTCGAATGAAACTTACTTATGTCGAATTTCATCTATATATTCGTATTTTTAGGCCAGTTATAAGCGTTAAAGTAATTTTCTGAAGGGGTCATTATATAGGTTGGCAGGGTCAATTATGGGTCGATCCTCATAAAATTTGGTAGACAGAATTTGGTTCGTATTAAATTTATTTGTGTCGAATTTCATCGCTACACTCGTATTTTTAAGTCATTAATGAGCGTTGCAGTCATTTTCTGAAGGGGACCTTATATGGGGGGTAGGGTCAATCATGGACCGATCAACATAAAATTTTTTAAATAGATTTTGACTCGTATGAAACTTACTTATGTCGAATTTCATCTATATACTAGAATTTTTAAGCCAGTAATGAGCGTTAAAGTCATTTTCTGAAGGGGACCTTATATGGGGGGTAGGGTCAATTATGGACCGATCCTCATAAAATTTTGCACAGTGATTTTGGATCACAAGAAACTTACTTATGTCGAATTTCATCGCTATATTCGTATTTTTAAACAACCCAGCAAAAAAAGTGTGGAAAAAGATGTAGAATTTTCATCACAACTAGTAACCCGAAGTGCTTCAAATTCGGGTGTAAAACCTATGAATTTTACATTAGCGTGTCATTGGAGGGATGTTGTTCATTTTTGGCAACTTTGAACTACATCTGATCTTATTTTTAGAAGCAGTAAAAGTCCGATATTTGGATGTCAAAAATAAAAACATTCTCTTAATGACACGCTTATGCAAATTTCACTACTTTTTCACCAAATCTTGATGTACTTCAAATATGTTATTTGTAATGACTTTTCCACATCTCTTTCCTCACTTTTAACTGGGGTTTCATTAGTAAGGAAATATTTGGTTTATAAAAGTGAAAAATATGTAATCGCATTTTAAGATGTGATTAAGATGTAGTTTTTAAAGTATGACATCAATTATTTTTTGCTGGGAAGTTATGGCTGTTTGAGCTGCTTTTCGAGGGGCCACTTGTATGGGGCTATCCGAAAACGTGGACCGATATTGCCCATTTTCAATACCAAACAAACCTTACCTATAAGAAATATTTATGTGAAATTTCAACCCTCTAGCTCTTTCCATTCGAACTCTATCGTGCTTTCAACAGACAGACGGACAGACATTGCTAGATCGTCTTAGAATTTAATGAGGACCCAGAATATATATACTTTTGTGGGTCTATGACCAATATTTCGATGTGTTACAAACGGAATGACAAGATCAATATACCCCCCATCTTTTTTGATGGTGGGTATAATAATAAGAAAATTTCCCAATTTGTTTTCGTTAAATATGATTTAAATACTAAAGCAGCTTCTTCATTAACGTTTTGTAAATAAATTTTTAACATAATAATTCATAGCATATCCATACTTTTTTATAGCAGGAGCCCATCTGAGAACCATAGAAGCCTTCAGTAGCATTACTTGATCCTTTGAAATGTTGTTCCTTGGCTATGTACGGCAATCTTCAATGATCCAAAATGATAAAAAGGGGTTCAGATCAGGGATTGATTTGATCGATGAAAAACGTGATCGATGAATCACCTGTCAACATTTTTGGTGTCTTTTTGGCCATTTTCGAGTTAGAATACTCGAAAATATTATAATAATCGGTATGATTTCATCGCTTAAAGAGACTTTTATATATTCAGTTCAGACTCATCGGAGAACAGTATATTTCCTCATTGGATCACTATTCCGGTGGGTCTGAAAACAACATTAGTGGATCAGATATGAAAAAGTTTACTGTAAGGCATTTTGGTGTCTTTTTGGCCATTTTGGAGTTAGAATACTCGAAAATATTATAATAATCGGTATGATTTCATCGCTTAAAGAGACTTTTATATATTCAGTTCAGACTCATCGGAGAACAGTATATTTCCTCATTGGATCACTATTCCGGTGGGTCTGAAAAAAACATTAGTGGATCAGATATGAAAAAGTTTACTGTAAGGCCAGTGAATAGCCGTCATAATCCTAAGTCTTGCAGAGGTACATGGATGCATAGAGGATCTTCAATCATTGTCTGTAATAACTTTTCCGACTCCGATATTGCGCTCATTTGGCATGTTGGATAGAAAATGGATCGAATTTTAAATAAAAGTCTCCTTAAGCGATGAAAATATACCGATTATTACAACATTTTCAATTATTCCAACTCGAAAATGGCCAAAAACACACCACAAATGTTGACAGGTGATAGATAGGAGGCATCATATGATCACGTTTTTCATCAAACAACTCAATCTCCTGATCTGAACCCTCTTTTTATCATTTTGGATCATTGTAGACCGATTCACATAATGAGATAGAGAAACTTAAAGGCACATTATTTTTGATCGCATAAAATATCCATGGAATAACATTTCAAAGGATAAAATAATGTTCTTGAAGACTTCTATGACTCCCAGATGTGCTCATGATATAAAAAAGTATGGATATGCTATGAAGTATTATATTAAAAATGTATTTACAAAATGTTTATGAAGAAGTTGCTTTTGTTTTTGCCAATTCAAATCTAATATGAATTTCTTTCTGTGAATTTATATCATATTTAACGAACAAAAATTTTGAAAATTTTCTTATTATTTTTTAGTTAATAATATACATTGCTTTAAACAAAAAACAAATTTAAAATATTTTCAGCGTGGAAAATTTTATAAACGATTCCACATAAATATACTGCTTTATTTTTGGTTACTAGTGTATATGACATAAATGTGATAAAAGAACCTAGTATCAAAATTTCATGATTCTAGCATTAACTGTTTAGGCTGGGCGATGATGAATCAATCAGTCAAGGCTTTTATATATCGTAACCTGAAATGCAAAGTGTGTTACAACAATCTTTTTGGTTGAAAATGTTTCATTCATCAAACTTTTAGAATTCTGTTGTCAAAAACACCGACTTTATTGATATGAAATTCAAAAGGGCGTAACAGCAAATTAGTAATTTCCACATGTCAGAAAGTCTTTAAAAACAACAAAATAGACAATGCCTGGCGGTACACTTATATGTCGTTTTTATAACAAAAATAGTTTTCATTTTATTTAGTTTTTTGTTTCTCCAGTAAAATTTTAAGTGTTATTACAACCTTTTTCATTTCAGGTGACGATATGTCACCTAAAACACATTTTTAAAATTTTACAGGAGAAGTAAAAAACTATTTAAATTGAAAAGTTTGTGTCTATCAACGCGTTTTAGTTGTAGTAAATAAACAAATTGTTTATTAGTGAAACCTATCAGTTGTTATGATAGTTGGCAAAGGCGTATATAAAAATGGATAAATTGGACTTATTACCTTTAATATTTAAATGATTTTGTTGATTGGGCCTATTTTGTCAATAAAATCACTAATTTTGGTCGGAGGAGTCCAGTTTTTTGTGTGGACATTTGTTTTGATGCAATACATGGAGGCGGGGATGACGGTACATCTGTCTCAGATATTCACTGCATGCTTGAAATTCACATATACCCCCATTAAATGGCAGGATGCAAGGGTAATATTTATACCCAAACTAGAGAAACCTAGCTATGCGACACCTAAGTCCTATCGACCGATAAGTCTTAAGTCCTTCCTACTTAAAACCTTGAAACGGATAGTCGATAGTATGGTTAAAAGCAGTATACCAGACAAAGACCTTGGAACGGATAGTCGATAGTATGGTTAAAAGCAGTATACCAGACAAAGACCCTAAATATAAGCAGCATGCTTATGTAAAGGGACGATCGGTGGAAACCGCTTTAAACGAAGTTGTCCACTACATAGGGGCATCCTTTGATAGCTAACGTATACACTGGCGGTATGCATTGACATCGAAGGCGACTTCAATAACGTGTACACTGATACTCTTATCCAATCCCTAGACCAGTTTTATGTTGACCGGGTGCTCCGTAACTGGATCAACCACAACTAATCAACGAAGGAACAGATGTATAAGATGCGAGATGTACGATATAACTATCAGGAAAAAGGTATTTCGCGGTATATCACAGGGTGGCATTTTGTCACCTTTACTCTGGGTTACCACGATTAATAGTCTCCTAAGGAACCTAACCGAGAAAGGACTCAGACCTGTCTACTATGCAGACGATGTCGTAATACTTTTAAAGGGAAAGGATCCAAATTACTTATGTAGAAGAGCTGAGGAGGCTTTGAGCTGGGCTCAACCGAGAGGCCTTAATGTTAACCCGACAAAAACGGAAATCTGTCTTTTCACAAGAAAGACAAAAATTTCGACGTATACTGAACCTTGCCTCCTGGGCAAGAAGATACCAGTGACAGTTAAGTACTTAAATGTAATCCTCGACCGGAAATTAAAATGGAGACCCCACATAGAGGATATGATCAACAAGGCACATCTATGACAAATTGGCTACATAAAAGTGTAATTAGACCAATTCTAGCTTATGCTTCAATAACT